GACCCCTGGAAGACGGTTGGAGAACACAGAGCCTAGTGAAACATGTGTTCTTATAAGCCCAGTCATTGCGCAATCGCAAGTGAAAACAGAGTTTTGACTGGCCACTATTTAAAATAGGATCCCAGCTTTTATGGTGCTGCTATATTTATTGTTCGGTTCTTAACATTAATCCACTTTACAAGCAGTGTAGCCTACCTGGCATATTAAAAACTGCGGGAAGCGCTTCCTCCATTTGCTATGCGAGTGCAGGCTACGGATGACATTTCTATTTTTAAAAAGTCGGCGATACTAAATCAAAAATAATTCCACACATATATTAGTAGGCTATACTGCATGTAAAGACCATATTAAATTGAGAATAGTCTGATGCTTGAGAATATTATCAAGCGCTTGTCAAATTGTGAATGAGAGACTGATGAAGTGTGTGCAGTCTGCGTAAGAAACAGAGCAGAGTTCATGCCTTTCATGACACTTTATTCAAATCATCATTAGAGTCGCAGCATGCAGCCTTAGAATGTATTAGAAATCCAAACATATAGCCCAATGATTGTATCACAACTAAAGTTGCATAGATAACTCTAAATTAAGCATATAGGAGGACCTGTTTCAAATTATCACCTTGTCAACCGCTCAACACAGAATAGCCGCATGTGCGCACTCCCTCGGAAATCGTTTGGGGAAAAACATCCTTTCTATTTTATTCAGCTATGTTCAATTGTATTCTTCTACCTATAAAATAATGCCACGGGAATTATAAGCAAATCTTGTCAGCTAAATAATGTAGCCCACAGCCATATGGCATAGCCAGATCAGGGCCTAACAAAAGGACAGCTCAGAATATGCTATCCTGTTCTTCTGAAATAGGCAACATTTTTCTTCCTATCAATAATGTTTCTTTAGAACTGATTAAAATAAATAATGGATTTTTTTTGTGATGGTTTAGGCTATCTTAAGTGGGTTGAATGTAGACGTTCCAAAGGTCTGCTTGTGTTTACGTAAATTAACGGTCAATTACCATGAGACCAGCATTTATTTGCATGACAGTTACCGGCAGACAAAATGTCTCAGAGTAGAAGTGCTGTACTAAAATCAGTACTTTTTGTCTATTTATTTTATTTGTATTTATTTAACCTTTATTTAACCTTTATTTAACCTTTATTTAACCTTTATTTAACCTTTATTTAACCTTTATTTAACCTTTATTTAACCTTTATTTAACTAGGCAAGTCAGGATCTGATCCCAGATCAGCTCTGAGATGCTTTATAAATATGGGCCCTGATCTGTTTCCATCAACGCCACAATAAACCATCTCGGAAGACAGACAGATATGCTCCCATCTATACCATCACTGAGAGTGAGTGAATGAGTGAGTGAGTGAGTGAGTGAGTGAGTGAGTGAGTGAGTGAGTGAGTGAGTGAGTGAGTGAGTGAGTCAGTCAGTCAGTCAGTCAGTCAGTCCATCCTGTAGTAGTTTCTCTGTCTGTCTACCCAGTCAGTGAAGGGAGATGTTGTGTCTCTGTGTGTGTGTGCGTGTGTGTGTGTCTGTGTGTGTGTATGTGTGCGTCTGACTACCAGACTAGAGGAGAATCTTTCCAGGGCTCACCTGTCTCTATGCCAGACAGACTAGTTCACACTGCCTCTGTCTCTTCCAGACAACCTGACCCACCTCCCTGACACACCTGAATACAGAACTATATGGTTCTGTCAGGTCTTCCAGACAGCCTGGCCAACCGCCAACTCACACCCGAATACAGAACTATATGGTTCTGTCAGGTCTTCCAGACAGCCTGGCCAACCGCCAACTCACACCCGAATACAGAACTATATGGTTCTGTCAGGTCTTCCAGACAGCCTGACCAACCGCCAACTCACACCTGAATACAGAACTATATGGTTCTGTCAGGTCTTCCAGACAGCCTGGCCAACCGCCAACTCACACCCGAATACAGAACTATATAACTATCAAGGTATCTTAAGCACCATTAAAACTAAAGTTGTAAGTTTGTTAGAGCTGTAAGTACTGAATGTAAATCGATTTAAAGTCAGTTTCTGAAACTCTATAGGTAATGCTGCGCCATCAAAGCTGAAGATACAGAGCTTTGTAAGTAATGAATACTGCATTCATTAAGTAGGTAATGAATACTGAATACTAAACAATTTATGATAGAAAATGTAACTATTTCAACTTCTAACTGAAAGGCAAGCATCACAGAATGTTAGAATTATCTCTCTCTCTCTCTCTCTCTCTCTCTCATCTGAAATCAGATGGTGAGACATATTCTAAAGGTCAGTATGGTGGTGGAAGGCAGCTGCTGGAATTGGCAGAAAGGGAGCCAGAGAGAGCAGAGTCCTGCTAGTGCTTGCAGGCTCCAGGCTAAATGATTTCTCTAAGAGTTTGATTGCTCCAGCTCACCTTGTGCTGCAATTCTCTTTTACTCTACTAGGTAAAAGGATAGCCAGTTAACCCTATGTGTGTTGTGTGTTCGGTTTAGACCATAGCTTTGGGCCCGTTTTAAAAGAGGTTGTGTAGAGTTCATGCACCAAGCATCACCTGCTAGTGGCACCAGCACTGTAGCTTCCACGACCCACAGTAACCATCGCATGCCAAAGTAACATTTATGCATTCACTACTGTAAGTCGCTCTAGGTAAGAGCGTTGGCTAAATTACTAAAATGTAATGTAAATGTAATGATACTCTTTTCTGTTTCCTGTATTTTTTTTATCTTCCATTCCATTAGTCTCCCAAAGGGTTTCTTTAGACCACACACTGAACACACTGAAGAGATCTAGACTATAGCTGTGTGCCCCAAATTATCTCATTAAGCCCCTTCACATGTCCAGATTAATGTTGGAGAGGCATCTGGCTCCAATTTCCAGATTCCTCAGAAGAACTGCTAAAACTCTGCTAAACCTGTGGGGGTTGGCGGAGTAACACCACCAAGACTCATGGTCCTGCTCTGCTAAACCTGTGGGGGTTGGCGGAGTAACACCACCAAGACTCATGGTCCTGCTCTGCTAAACCTGTGGGGGTTGGCGGAGTAACACCACTAAGACTCATGGTCCTGCTCTGCTAAACCTGTGGGGGTTGGCGGAGTAACACCACCAAGACTCATGGTCCTGCTCTGCTAAACCTGTGGGGGTTGGCGGAGTAACAACACCAAGACTCATGGTCCCTGCTCTGCTAAACCTGTGGGGGTTGGCGGAGTAACACCACCAAGACTCATGTCTGCCTGCTAAACCTGTGGGGGTTGGAGGAGTAACACCACTAAGACTCATGGTCCTGACCTCTGCTAAACCTGTGGGGGTTGGCGGAGTAACACCACCTAAGACTCATGGTCCTGCTCTGCTAAACCTGTGGGGGTTTGGCGGAGTAACACCACTAAGACTCATGGTCCTGCTCTGCTAAACCTGTGGGGGTTGGCGGAGTAGAGCACCCACCAAGACTCATGGTCCTGCTCTGCTAAACCTGTGGGGGTTGGCGGAGTAACACCACCAAGACTCATGGTCCTGCTCTGCTAAACCTGTGGGGGTTGGCGGAGTAACACCACCAAGACTCATGGTCCTGCTCTGCTAAACCTGTGGGGTTGGCGGAGAACACCACCAAGACTCATGGTCCTGCTCTGCTAAACCTGTGGGGGTTGGCGGAGTAACACCACCAAGACTCATGGCCTGCTCTGCTAAACCTGTGGGGGTTGGCGGAGTAACACCACCAAGACTCATGGTCCTGCTCTGCTAAACCTGTGGGGGTTGGCGGATAAACACCACCAAGACTCATGGTCCTGCTCTGCTAAACCTGTGGGGGTTGGCGGAGTAACACCATAAGACTCATGTCCTGCTCTGCTAAACCTGTGGGGGTTGGCGGAGTAACACCACCAAGACTCATGGTCCTGCTCTGCTAAACCTGTGGGGGTTGGCGGAGTAACACCACCAAGACTTGCAGGGGGGCAGCAGAGGGGCGAGGGAAGCAGTGATCGCTGCCAATCCATCATGCTGCTAGTCATTAAAGTTAGTAGTTAAAATTCACGTTCATATGAAAACACTACTGTCACGTTATGAATTGATCACTGGAGCGGAGGTTATTTCATGGGGACTGGCCACTAATCACTTTCACAAAGTAGGGAAGGTCGGCAGGGTGAATATATGGCCACTAAGCACTTTCACAAAGTAGGGAAGGTCGGCAGGGTGAACATATGGCCACTAAGCACTTTCACAAAGTAGGGAAGGTCGGCAGGGTGAATATATGGCCACTAAGCACTTTCACAAAGTAGGGAAGGTCGGCAGGGTGAATATGGCCACAAAGCACTTTCACAAAGTAGGGAAGGTCGGCAGGGTGAATATATGGCCACTAAGCACTTTCACAAAGTAGGGAAGGTCGGCAGGGTGAATATGGCCACTAAGCACTTTCACAAAGTAGGGAAGGTCGGCAGGGTGAATATATGGCCACTAAGCACTTTCACAAATTAGGGAAGGTCGGCAGGGTGAATATATGGCCACTAAACACTTTCACAAAGTAGGGAAGGTCGGCAGGGTGAATATGGCCACTAAGCACTTTCACAAAGTAGGGAAGGTCGGCAGGGTGAATATATGGCCACTAACCACTTTCACAACGTAGGGAAGGTCGGCAGGGTGAATATATGGCCACTAAGCACTTTCACAAAGTAGGGAAGGTCGGCAGGGTGAACATATGGCCACTAAGCACTTTCACAAAGTAGGGAAGGTCGGCAGGGTGAATATATGGCCACTAAGCACTTTCACAAAGTAGGGAAGGTCGGCAGGGTGAACATATGGCCACTAAGCACTTTCACAAAGTAGGGAAGGTCGGCAGGGTGAATATATGGCCACTAAGCACTTTCACAAATTAGGGAAGGTCTAGTAGAGTAGAGTAGTGTAGAGTAGAGTAGAGTAGAGTATAGTAGAGTAGTGTATAGTAGAGTAGAGTAGAGTAGAGTAGAGTAGAGTAGAGTAGTGTAGAGTAGAGTAGAGTAGAGTAGTGTAGAGTAGAGTAGAGTAGAGTAGAGTAGTGTAGAGTAGAGTAGAGTAGAGTAGTGTAGAATAGAGTAGAAGAGTAGAGTAGAGTAGAGTAGAGTAGAGTAGAGTAGAGTAGAGTAGTGTATAGTAGAGTAGAGTAGAGTATAGTAGTGTAGAGTAGAGTAGAGTAGAGTAGAGTAGAGTATAGTAGTGTAGTGTAGAGTAGAGTAGAGTAGTGTAGAGTAGAGTATAGTAGTGTAGAGTAGAGTAGAGTAGAGTAGAGTAGAGTAGAGTAGAGTAGAGTAGAGTAGTGTAGAATAGAGTAGAGTAGAGTAGAGTAGTGTATAGTAGATTATAGTATAGTAGTGTAGTGTAGAGTAGAGTAGAGTAGTGTAGAATAGAGTAGAGTAGAGTAGAGTAGAGTAGAGTAGAGTATAGTAGTGTAGAGTAGAGTATAGTATAGTATAGTAGAGTATAGTAGGGTAGAGTAGAGTAGAGCAGAGCAGAGTATAGTAGAGTATAGTATAGTAGATTAGAGTAGAGTAGAGTAGAGTAGTGTAGTGTAGAGTAGAGTAGAGTAGTGTAGAGTAGAGTAGAGTAGAGCAGAGTATAGTAGAGTATAGTAGAGTAGAGTAGAGTAGAGTAGAGTAGAGTAGAGTAGAGTAGTGTATAGTATAGTATAGTAGAGTATAGTATAGTAGAGTAGAGTAGAGCAGAGTATAGTAGAGTATAGTAGAGTATATTAGAGTAGAGTAGAGTAGAGTAGTGTAGAATAGAGTAGAGTAGAGTAGAGTAGAGTAGTGTAGAGTAGAGTAGAGTAGAGTATAGTATAGTATAGTATAGTATAGTATAGTATAGTATAGTATAGTATAGTAGAGTATAGTATAGTAGAGTAGAGTAGAGTAGAGTAGAGTAGAGTAGAGCAGATTATAGTAAGTATAGTATAGTAGAGTATAGTAGAGTAGAGTAGAGTAGAGTAGAGTAGAGTAGTGTAGAGTAGAGTAGAGTAGAGTATAGTAGAGTAGATTAGAGTAGAGTAGAGTAGAGTAGAGTAGTGTAGAGTAGAGTAGAGTAGTGTAGAGTAGTGTAGAGTAGATCAGAGTATAGTAGAGTATAGTAGAGTATAGTAGAGTAGAGTAGAGTAGAGTAGAGTATAGTAGAGTATAGTAGAGTAGTGTATAGTAGAGTAGAGTAGAGTAGTGTAGTGTATAGTAGAGTAGAGTAGAGTAGAGTAGAGTATAGTAGTGTATAGTAGAGTAGAGTAGAGTATAGTAGAGTAGAGTAGAGTAGAGTAGAGTAGAGTAGAGTATAGTAGAGTATAGTAGAGTATAGTAGAGTAGTGTATAGTAGAGTAGAGTAGAGTAGTGTAGTAGTATAGTAGAGTAGAGTAGAGTAGTAGAGTAGAGTAGAGTATAGTAGTGTATAGTAGAGTAGAGTAGAGTAGAGTAGAGTAGAGTAGAGTAGAGCAGAGCAGAGTATAGTAGAGTATAGCAGAGTAGAGTAGAGTAGAGTAGAGTAGAGTAGAGTAGAGTAGAGTAGAGTAGAGTAGAGTAGTGTAGAGTAGAGTAGAGTAGTGTATAGTAGAGTAGAGTAGTGTAGTGTATAGTAGTGTAGAGTATAGTAGTGTAGAGTATAGTAGTGTAGAGTAGAGCAGAGTATAGTAGTGTAGAGTAGAGTAGAGTAGAGCAGAGTATAGTAGTGTAGACAGCTAGTGATAGATAGTTTGAGTATCATCTCCCTCCATCTCTCCTGCTTCAGAGGCAACATATTTGAATAAGAATTCTAGAACTTTGTCTATTTGGGTTGCTTCTAATACAATAACCCCAAACTGTCACCACGGACCAGAGCAATGGGCTGCATCCCAAAGGCTGCTATTCAAACTATTTTAACGGGGACCCCATTTTTTTCTGGCAGAATTTCTGGGGACCACATTCTTTTCGCAATAATTTCTCACGACCCCACTCCACCCCAAATCTAATTACAACCTTAATCAGTAAATACATTTACTCAATAAAATTGTATTTTGTAATTCTTTTTTCTCAAGAACGTTTGTATATTGTCTCATACAATAATCAGTACTCTTAATCTTTTGTTCGACCCCACTGCAGTTCCCCCGTGACCCGGACTTTGAAAACCACTGGGTTTCAGTCTATACCCCAACAGCAAATACCCCCATACTGATTGCCCTACAGAGAACACCTAATTTATTGACCCTTATTCTACCAGGTAAATTGACTGACAACATATTCTCTTTTACAGCAACCACCAGCATCTGGACTCCCATCCAGGAACCGACAAGGACCGACCCTGCTTAGCTTCAAAGGCAAGTCAGCAGTGAGATGCAGGGTGGTACGCTGCGGGCTAGAAGCAATGTTTACAGTCCAACACTTCATTCACTGTATACAAACAAAGCCACCCTACCCTGATTCACCTGTATTCCTCCTTGCAACAATCTTGACACAACTGGCCATGAAAGACAAAGAAAGAGGTCAGTATGAGAAGAGAAAAAGGTCAACTGGAGTTCAACTGGAGGTCAACTGGAGGTCAACCTCAGTGGCTGTAGATGTGGATGTGAAATATGAGGGTGTAGAACCAGGGGGTAAGTACACCGTCTGGTGCCTTCTGCCTCCTTTAAGCATCTGCTTAGCGTTGGGGTGGAGAGTGATATTTCTGAGGTAGCTCCTGGAAGGACAGTGGGACCCCCAGAAGAGACAGGGAGGAGGAGGAGGAGGTTCTCTACTCCTCTTCTTCTCTCTCCTCACTAGGGAGAGAGGACAAAGAGGAAAGAGCACTGATTCTTTTTTAAACACTGAACTGTTTTGTACGATGACTAAAACAGCGATTTTCAAACAGCTCACAACAACAAAGCCTTTTGTCCTCTGGAACTCATTCTATTTTAATAAACAGTATCCCTGTAAAAGCACTTTTCAAAACGCTCACTACAAACCACAGCAAAAGCCTATTGTTTCCTCCAAGAGCTCCGTGACTTTGGTTCAGACTCACCTAATGCATTCAGCATGTGCATCAGCTGTGCCTGCATGAGACTAGCTTAGTAGAAGGAACACCAAGGGTGATTGCAGTAAGTTTCAATTGGACAGCTGCTACCACTCTTCCTTCCTCCCTCTCTCTCACTTTTTATTCACCCTTTCTCCTCCTGATTTGGCATCCTCCCTCTCTCCTGCAGGCCTCTCCTCCTCTCTCTCTCTCCTGCAGGCCTCTCCTCCTCTCTCTCTCTCTCCTGCAGGCCTCTCCTCCTCTCTCTCTCTCCTGCAGGCCTCTCCTCCTCTCTCTCTCTCCTGCAGGCCTCTCCTCCTCTCTCTCTCCTGCAGGCCTCTCCTCCTCTCTCTCTCCTGCAGGCCTCTCCTCCTCTCTCTCTCCTGCAGGCCTCTCCTCCTCTTCTCTCCTGCAGGCCTCTCCTCCTCTCTCTCTCTCCTGCAGGCCTCTCCTCCTCTCTCTCTCTCCTGCAGGCCTCTCCTCCTCTCTCTCTCTCCTGCAGGCCTCTCCTCCTCCTCTCTCCTGCAGGCCTCTCCTCCTCTCTCTCTCTCTCCTGCAGGCCTCTCCTCCTCTCTCTCTCCTACAGGCCTCTCCTCCTCCTCTCTCCTGCAGGCCTCTCCTCCTCTCTCTCTCTCCTGCAGGGCCTCTCCTCCTCTCTCTCTCTCCTGCAGGCCTCTCCTCCTCTCTCTCTCTCCTGCAGGCCTCTCCTCCTCTCTCTCTCTCCTGCAGGCCTCTCCTCCTCCTCTCTCCTGCAGGCCTCTCCTCCTCTCTCTCTCTCCTGCAGGCCTCTCCTCCTCTCTCTCTCTCCTGCAGGCCTCTCCTCCTCTTTCTCTCCTGCAGGCCTCTCCTCCTCTCTCTCTCTCCTGCAGGCCTCGCCTCCTCTCTCTCTCTCCTGCAGGCCTCTCCTCCTCTCTCTCTCTCCTGCAGGCTTCTCCTCCTCCTCTCTCCTGCAGGCCTCTCCTCCTCCTCTCTCCTGCATGGCTCTTCATTAACCTGCAGCCTTCTAGCCTCAGCCCTCAGTCCTCCAGGCCTTCTGCCCTTCATTCACCCTCTGAATTCACCAACACACACACCTGAGGGACGAAACGATATACTGTGTAGTACTGTGTACAGATCTCTGAAAGATGGATCGACTGTGTACTAATGTGTACTACTGTGTCCTGAGACCTGAAAGATGAAAGATGAAATGGTGTGTACGGTTTCCCTGTACATTGATCTGCTTTCTAAATGACAGCTCCTATTGTATATATTTTCTAAACGATCCCTCTGTTTTGTGGGCTGTAACTCCTTGGGGAGATCAGCACCTGTCTGTAGTTCTGTTTTGTGGCCTGTAACTCCTTGGGGAGGTCAACACCTGTCGAGAGAGAGAGAGAGCGAGAGCGAGAGCGCGAGAGAGAGAGAGAGAGAGAGAGAGAGAGAGAGAGAGAGAGAGAGAGAGAGAGAGAGAGAGAGAGAGGAGACAAGTGCTTGTGGCGGTTGCTAAGGAACTAGCAGGAGAGTGTTACCACTTGTGAACGGTGCAGAGCAGCTCGATAGATCAGCCCCTAATGGTTCAGGTCTCTCAGTGTGTGTGTTTACGTGTGTGTGATGGAGCCTTCCCCTACTAGGAGATGAGGGATTGCGACATGGCGGGTGCACTACACTACGCCACACCATATGTCTTAGCCAACCAGTCTCCCTGGCCCCACCTATCAGAACACAGAAATAGCAGATATTCTCCTAGATAGGACACTATTTGCATAGAAGTGGAGAGTGAATAATTGAGAGGTGAGAGAGCAGAGAGAGGTATCTCTGGCTGGGTTGGAGGAAGACAGAGCCGGCTCTGGATGGGATGGAGGAAGAGCGATGTGGCTCTGGCTGGGATGGAGGAAGAGAGAGATGGAGGGATGTATACCTGCAAGCTAAAGAGAGAGAAAGAGAGCTGAGCAGAGAGAGCGGAGGGAGGGAGAGAGGGATGTTTGCCTACCAGCTAAAGAGAGAGCAGGGTGAGGGAGGGAGGGAGAGAGGCAGGCAGGGAGGGAGGGATGTTTGCCTACCAGCTAAAGAGAGAGCAGGGTGAGGGAGGGAGGGAGGGAGGGATGGGTGAATAGATGTACATCTGCCAGCCAAACCCATTAGTGAGGCCTTGCTAGGCTGAGGAAGGCTGATGAGGAGAAACACTTATCGGACACTAAAGGACACAGAGTAGGGCTGGATGTCACCTAGCCTGATCTCCACAATGCCCCGGGGAGATGGAGTGGGTTTGGTGAAAGGGAAAAGAGGGGTTATAAAAAACTGAACTATTGAAAGACTGAGGGAGGAAGTAGATTTGCCCCATACAGCAAGGGCTGTCACACACAAACACACACGCAAGCACACACGCACAGACACACACACACACGCACACAGAGGACGTCCCATCCCACACCTCCTATGATCTGTTCATTAGCCATGTTCATCTGGTCCAGCCTGATAATTATATTCTAATGGAGTGGAGGAGAACAGAGAGCACTTGTGTATATGGTTCATGACAAGGACTTACAAGGCAGCCAAGCCAGTTTAGACAAGAACTAGTGTTAGTGAAGTACTGTAGTCTAGCCAGCTTAGTGATAGTGAAGTACTGTAGTCTAGCCAGCCTAGAGATAGTGAAGTACTGTAGTCTAGCCAGCCTAGTGATAGTGAAGTACTGTAGTCTAGCCAGCCTAGTGATAGTGAAGTACTGTAGTCTAGCCAGCCTAGTTATAGTGAAGTACTGTAGTCTAGCCAGCCTAGTGATATTGAAATAATGTAGTCTAGCCAATCTAGTGAAGTATTGTAGTCTAGCCAGCTTAGTGAAGTACTGTAGTCTAGCCAGCCTAGTGAAGTATTGTAGTTTAGCCAGCCTAGTGATAGTGAAGTACTGCAGTCTAGTCAGCCTAGTGAAGTACTGTAGTCTAGCCAGCCTAGTGAAGTACTGTAGTTTAGCCAGCCTAATGATAGTGAAGTATTGTAGTCTAGCCAGTTTAGTGAAGTACTGTAGTCTAGCCAGCCTAGTGATAGTGAAGTACTGTAGTCTAGCCAGCCTAGTGAAGTACTGTAATCTAGACATCCTAGAGATAGTGAAGTACTGTAGTCTAGCCAGCCTAGTGATAGTGAAGTACTGTAGTCTAGCCAGCCTAGTGAAGTACTGTAGTCTAGCCAGCCTAGTGATAGTGAAGTACTGTAGTCTAGCCAGCCTAGTGATAGTGAAGTACTGTAGTCTAGCCAGCCTAGAGATAGTGAAGTACTGTAATCTAGCCAGCCTAGTGATAGTGAAGTACTGTAGTCTAGCCAGCCTAGAGATAGTGAAGTACTGTAGTCTAGCCAGCCTAGTGATAGTGAAGTACTGTAGTCTAGCCAGCCTAGTGAAGTACTGTAGTTTAGCCAGCCTAGTGATAGTGAAGTACTGTAGTCTAGCCAGCCTAGAGATAGTGAAGTACTGTAATCTAGCCAGCCTAGAGATAGTGAAGTACTGTAGTCTAGCCAGCCTAGTGATAGTGAAGTAAAGGAGTCTAGCCAGCCTAGTGATAGTGAAGTACTGTAGTCTAGCCAGCCTAGTGAAGTACTGTAGTTTAGCCAGCCTAGTGATAGTGAAGTACTGTAGTCTAGCCAGCCTAGTGAAGTACTGTAGTCTAGCCAGCCTAGTGATAGTGAAGTACTGTAGTCTAGCCAGCCTAGTGAAGTACTGTAATCTAGACATCCTAGAGATAGTGAAGTACTGTAGTCTAGCCAGCCTAGTGATAGTGAAGTACTGTAGTCTAGCCAGCCTAGTGAAGTACTGTAGTCTAGCCAGCCTAGTGATAGTGAAGTACTGTAGTCTAGCCAGCCTAGTGATAGTGAAGTACTGTAGTCTAGCCAGCCTAGAGATAGTGAAGTACTGTAATCTAGCCAGCCTAGAGATAGTGAAGTACTGTAGTCTAGCCAGCCTAGTGATAGTGAAGTACTGTAGTCTAGCCAGCTTAGTGAAGTAATGTAGTCTAGCCAGCTTAGTGAAGTACTGTATTCTAGCCAGCCTAGTGAAGTACTGTAGTCTGGCCAGTCTTGTGATAGTGAAGTACTGTAGTCTAGCCAGCCTAGTGAAGTACTGTAGTCTAGCCAGCCTAGTGATAGTGAAGTACTGTAGTCTAGCCAGCCTAGTGATAGTGAAGTACTGTAGTCTAGCCAGCCTAGTGATAGTGAAGTACTGTAGTCTAGCCAGCCTAGTGAAGTACTGTAGTCTAGCCAGCCTAGGGAAGTACTGTATTCTAGCCAGCCTAGTGATAGTGAAGTACTGTAGTCTAGCCAGCCTAGGGAAGTACTGTATTCTAGCCAGCCTAGTGATAGTGAAGTACTGTAGTCTAGCCAGCCTAGTGATAGTGAAGTACTGTAGTCTAGCCAGCATAGTGAAGTACTGTAGTCTAGCCAGCCTAGAGATAGTGAAGTACTGTAGTCTAGCCAGCCTAGTGAAGTACTGTAGTCTAGCCAGCCTAGTGAAGTACTGTATTCTAGCCAGCCTAGAGATAGTGAAGTACTGTAGTCTAGCCAGCCTAGAGATAGTGAAGTACTGTAATCTAGCCAGCCTAGAGATAGTGAAGTACTGTAGTCTAGCCAGCCTAGTGATAGTGAAGTACTGTAGTCTAGCCAGCCTAGTGATAGTGAAGTACTGTAGTCTAGCCAGCCTAGTGATAGTGAAGTACTGTAGTCTAGCCAGCCTATTGATAGTGAAGTACTGTAATCTAGCCAGCCTAGTGATAGTGAAGTACTGTAGTCTAGCCAGCCTAGTGATAGTGAAGTACTGTAGTCTAGCCAGCCTAGTGAAGTACTGTAGTCTAGCCAGTTAAGTGTTAGTGAAGTACTGTAGTCTAGCCAGCCTAGAGATAGTGAAGTACTGTAATCTAGCCAGCCTAGAGATAGTGAGGTACTGTAGTCTAGCCAGCCTAGAGATAGTGAAGTATTGTAATCTAACTAGCCTAGTGATAGTGAAGAACTGTAGTCTAGCCGGCCTAGTGATAGTGAAGTACTGTAGTCTAGCCAGCCTAGTGATAGTGAAGTACTGTAGTCTAGCCAGCCTAGTGATAGTGAAGTAGTGTATTCTAGCCAGCCTAGTGAAGTACTGTAGTCTAGCCAGCCTAGAGATAGTGAAGTACTGTAGTCTAGCCTGCCTAGTGAAGTACTGTAGTCTAGCCAGCCTAGTGATAGTGAAGTACTGTAGTCTAGCCAGCTTAGTGAAGTACTGTAGTCTAGCCAGCCTAGTGATAGTGAAGTACTGTAGTCTAGCCAGCCTAGTGATAGTGAAGTAGTGTATTCTAGCCAGCCTAGTGAAGTACTGTAGTCTAGCCAGCCTAGAGATAGTGAAGTACTGTAGTCTAGCCTGCCTAGTGAAGTACTGTAGTCTAGCCAGCCTAGTGATAGTGAAGTACTGTAGTCTAGCCAGCTTAGTGAAGTACTGTAGTCTAGCCAGCCTAGTGATAGTGAAGTACTGTAGTCTAGCCAGCCTAGTGATAGTGAAGTACTGTAGTCTAGCCAGCCTAGTGACAATGAATTACTGTAGTATATCCAGCCTATAGATAGTGAAGTACTTTAGTCTAGCCAGCTTAGTGAAGTACTGTAGTCTAGCCAGCCTAGTGATAGTGAAGTACTTCAGTCTAGCCAGCCTTGTGAAGTACTGTAGTCTAGTCAGCCTAGTGATAGTGAAGTACTGTAGTCTAGCCAGCTTAGTGAAGTACTGTAGTCTAGCCAGCCTAGTGATAGTGAAGTACTGTAGTATAGCCAGCCTATAGATAGTGAAGTACTTGAGTCTAGCCAGCCTAGTGAAATACTGTAGTCTAGCCAGCCTAGAGATAGTGAAGTACTTTATTTAGCCAGCCTAGAGATAGTGAAGTACTGTATTCTAGCCAGCCTAGTGATAGTGAAGTACTGTAGTCTAGCCAGCCTAGTGATAGTGAAGTACTGTAGTCTAGCCAGCCTAGTGATAGTGAAGTACTGTAGTCTAGCCAGCCTAGTGATAGTGAAGCACTGTAGTCTAGCCAGCCTAGTGATAGTGAAGTACTGTAGTCTAGCCAGCCTAGTGAAGTACTGTAGTCTAGCCAGCCTAGTGAAGTACTGTAGTCTAGCCAGCTTAGTGAAGTAATGTAGTCTAGCCAGCCTAGTGATAGTGAATTACTGTAGTCTAGCCATTCTAGTGAAGTACTGTAGTCTAGCCAGCCTAGTGATAGTGAAGTACTGTATTCTAGCCATCCTAGTGATAGTGAAGTACTGTAGTCTAGCCAGCCTAGTGATAGTGAAGTACTGTATTCTAGCCAGCCTAGTGATAGTGAAGTACTGTAGTCTAGCCATTCTAGTGAAGTACTGTAGTCTAGCCAGCTTAGTGAAGTACTGTAGTCTAGCCAGCCTAGTGATAGTGAAGTACTGTAGTCTAGCCAGCCTAGTGATAGTGAAGTACTGTAGTCTAGCCAGCCTAGTGAAGTACTGTAGTCTAGCCAGTATAGTGAAGTACTGTAGTCTAGCCAGCCTAGTGATAGTGAAGTACTGTAGTCTAGCCAGTTTAGTGAAGTACTGTAGTCTAGCCAGCCTAGTGATAGTGAAGTACTGTAATCTAGCCAGCCTAGTGAAGTACTGTAGTCTAGCCAGTTTAGTGAAGTATTGTAGTCTAGCCAGCCTAGTGATAGTGAAGTACTGTAGTCTAGCCAGTTTAGTGAAGTATTGTAGTCTAGCCAGCCTAGTGATAGTGAAGTACTGTAGTCTAGCCAGTTTAGTGAAGTACTGTAGTCTAGCCAGTTTAGTGAAGTACTGTAGTCTGCAACTATCTAATATCAAGTATATCAAATAATCAGCCTAGTGAGATTACTGTAGTCTAGTCAGCCCAGTGATAGTACTATCTTCACAACAGGACAGAAGGTGATAGTACTATCTTCACAACAGGACAGAAGGTGATAGTACTATCTTCACAACAGGACAGACAACTTTGTTAAAGGTACAGTGTGGGCAATTTGGACAGATATGTGCTCTCTATATGCCACTGTCACGAGTGTCAGTGTAATGCGGTGGATCGAAGTCAGGCGCAGGACACAGAACTCGAAGAAACGTACTTTACTGAAATGAGTAAAGAACACAACACAGAAATACTAACCCGCTCACAAACGACACACGAAATGGAAAAAACAACCACGCACAAAACACATTGGGAGCCACTGGGTTAAATAGGGAAGGCGTGATTACAATAATGGGCAACAGGTGTGTAACAATCAGACTACAGGTGCAACATAGAAACAGAGAACATAGATCGGCAGCAGCTAGTACTCCGGTGACGACGAACGCCGAAGCCTGCCCGAGCAAGGAGGAGGGGCAGCCTGGGCAGAATCCGTGACAGCTACCAAGGACTTATAAGATCAGCCTAGCTAAGCACAGTGCAGAAGTGTAAATGTTTCGGACAACTTTTTGAAAAGGCCACATAAAACCCAACGATAAAGGCTGGTTGTCCTATTTAAAATAAAATAAAATTGTACTGTTGGCGGCAGGTGCACTTGATACAGCAGTGCTAGCACCTGACAAGAGGTGAGGAACAGGGACCATTGTGCTCTGACTAGAGGCACAGCATGACATCAATATGTCTGACACATTTCTTCTTTTCACCAAGTCTCTTTTTGTTTTTCATTTAGCATCGCTGTCCTTCTCCCAGTCTCAGCAGGTTACACTTCTAGCTGAGAGGAAAACACACACACGCACCCACACACACACACACACACACGCACCCACACACACACACACACACACACAGCACATCTAGTTGAGAGCAGAACAGCCTGAGTTATGCGTCAAAGAGACTTGGCTTCCATAATATCAAAACAACCCAAAATGAGATAGCTCCTATGTAGTACATTGAGAACAATGTGCTGTTGCTAAAACTAGGATGGCTATGCCTAACAGGGTTCTAAATAATGCTGGTATTGGACCAAATTGGTTTCCAACATTCCACAATAAATAGAATATATGCCTAAACAGGTCCTTTCTCTTGAGGAGTATAACCAACTGGTTATTGGCATTACATGTTCCTTATGCGATAGAATCAACCTGGTTAACTCAATGCTGTTTGGCTGTAAGGAGTTCTTTCTGACATCTCCACACGATTCAACTCTATAGTTTATTATGAGGAAACAACGTCCAGAAAAAGGACCTGTCCATTGCAGCCCTCAGCATCCCTCAGGTCAGACCCCTCAGCATCCCTCAGGTCAGACCCCTCAGCATCCCTCAGGTCAGACCCCTCAGCATCCCTCAGGTCAGACCCCTCAGCATCCCTCAGGTCAGACCCCTCATCATCTCTCAGGTCAGACCCCTCAGCATCCCTCAGGCCAGACCCCTCAGCATCCCTCAGGCCAGACCCCTCAGCATCTCTCAGGTCAGACCCCTCAGCATCCCTCAGGTCAGACCCCTCAGCATCCCTCAGGTCAGACCCCTCAGCATCCCTCAGGTCAGAGCCCTCAGCATCCCTCAGGTCAGAGCCCTCAGCATCCCTCAGGTCAGAGCCCTCAGCATCCCTCAGGTCAGAGCCCTCAGCATCCCTCAGGTCAGAGCCCTCAGCATCCCTCAGGTCAGAGCCCTCAGCATCCCTCAGGTCAGAGCCCTCAGCATCTCTCAGGTCAGAGCCCTCAGCATCCCTCAGGTCAGAGCCCTCAGCATCCCTCAGGTCAGAGCCCTCAGCATCCCTCAGGTCAGAGCCCTCAGCATCCCTCAGGTCAGAGCCCTCAGCATCCCTCAGGTCAGAGCCCTCAGCATCCCTCAGGTCAGAGCCCTCAGCATCCCTCAGGTCAGAGCCCTCAGCATCCCTCAGGTCAGAGCCCTCAGCATCCCTCAGGTCAGAGCCCTCAGCATCCCTCAGGTCAGAGCCCTCAGCATCCCTCAGGTCAGAGCCCTCATCATGGTGTTGGCAGGACAGAGTCAGGCTGATGGATCACTTATATACACTTTAACTCCCTCAGAGTCACTTCACTATTAGAGGACACACTCAATCTGAATCCACTGGGCAAGGTTTGGGCCACAGGGAAAAACACACACACACATGCACACACTTAAGAATTCACACACACACACACACACACACCACTACACACATCCACACAAAGACACACAAACACCACTTACAGAGATGCAACAGCACCACTAGGAGTCCGTTTTTTCCTTCCCACTATGATGATTAACAACTGTTTAGTAAATCACACAAAAACAGCATTAACGACAGAGATATGCTAATGCGCAACACAATAATCACTAATTGAAATGAATGAAGCTAATTTGGAGCAAAGCCCAAAATACTGTTGAGTCCCACGGTTGTGGTTAAACTGTCTGTCTGCTGTAACAGGAGGTTCACTGGGAGACCACTAGTGTATACATCTCAAATGGCACCCTATTCCCTATATAGTGCACTACTTGTGGCCCTGGTAAAAGGTAGGGCACTATAAAGGCTTTGGGTGCCATGTAGGAAGCAGACAGACAGTCATAACAGGTGGTACAGTAAGTAGGCTGCTCTTTCCCTGGGTCTGTAGGGGCTAGGGGACTGTTAGGGGACTGCTAGGGGACTGTCAGGGGACTGTCAGGGGACTGTTAGGGGACTGTCAGGGGACTGTTAGAGGACTGCTAGGGGACTGCTAGGGGACTGTCAGGGGACTGCTAGGGGACTGTTAGGGGACAGCTAGGGGACTGCTAGGGGACTGTTAGGGGACTGTTAGGGGACTGCTAGGGGACTGCTAGGGGACTGTCAGGGGACTGCTAGGGGACTTTTAGGAGACTGCTAGGGGACTGTCAGGGGACTGCTAGGGGACTGCTAGGGGACTGTCAGGGGACTGCTAGGGGACTATTAGGTGACTGCTAGGGGACTGTTAGGGGACAGCTAGGGGACAGCTAGGGGACTGCTAGGGGACTGTTAGGGGACCTTTCGGTTACTGGCCCAACGCTTCTAACCGTTTGGCTACCTGCCGTTTTCTTCTTGGGGAATGTACTTTCCTGTTATATGAATCTCACTGTCTGATTTACTGTAACTGTACCACAGGCCACAAATACACAACAATGTGCCATTGTGTGTGTGTGTGTGTGTGTGTGTGTGTGTGTGTGTGTGTGTGTGCAGTTATCACTGTGAAGAAATTAAAGAAATGAGCATACTAGCCAGGAAACAGGAATCCTTAAATGCTTGTTAATGCATGATATGTGGGTTCCCTCATCTGAAGAATGAGTTTTAAAATGTGTTTTGACATTCACTTTGCTTCAAGTCCAGACTGGTAGCACAGGACATTATTCACCCATAATGCAGTCTTTGTGCCATGCGAATGCCTTCTTTCCCAAATGCCATTGACATTACAGCACTCTTGTCACAGCATAACCCAATTTAACGCTATTGTTGTTGTTCTTCACAAGTGTGTGTGTGTGTGTGTGTGTGTGTGTACGAACGTGCTCATCTGTGCTTACGTGCAGGAATGTGCCCGTTTGTTTATGTTTGTTTATCTCAGAATGATATCCCTAACCTATAAACACCTTTCTATACACACACAACCTAGAACAAACATCCTTCATTATCCTCCACTATACACTGAGTGATCAAAACATTAGGAACACCTGTTCTTTCCATGACATAGACTGACCAGGTGAATACAGTTGAAAGCTATGATCCCTTATTGATGTCACCTGTTAAATCCACTTCAAATCAGTGTAGATGAAGGGGATGTTAAAGAAGGATTTTTTAAGCTTTGAGACAATTGTGTACGTGTTCCATTCAGAGGGTGAATGGGCAAGACAAAAGATTAAAGTGCCTTTGAACGAGGTATGGTAGCAGGTGCCAGGTGCATCGGTTTGTGTCAAGAACTGCAACCTTGCTGGGGTTTTTTTCCACGCTCAACAGTTTCCCGTGTGTATCAAGAACGGTCTACCACCCCAAAGGACATCCAGCCAACTTGACACAACTGTGGGAAGCATTGGAGTCAACATGGGCCAGCATCCCCGCGGAACGCTTTCTACACCTTGCAGAGTCCCATGCCCCGATGAATTGAGGCTGTTCCGAATATTAGGAAGGTGTTCTTAAAATGTTGTACACTCAGTGTAGATTTCAATGACACCTCCCTTCCCCTTTTGACTTTCCTGGATTATAATATATATCTTCATATATGCTGATGAAAACAACCAGTCTGTTGAAGGGCTTTTTAATAAAAATCTGTGTCCAAGTAGGGAATTAGTTTTTCAGGAAAATGGAAGCACTGCCACTTCTTTTGGTTTACAGCTGACAGCATTAAGGTAAGACACTTGTGCACTTGAGGCATTTATATGCGTTATATTCTTGAAGAATCGACAGGCATCAATAATTGAAATGACCATTCAGCAGATTCCCAGATCACAGATTGCACCTTTAAGTCGCTCTGGATAAGAGCATCTGCTAAATGACTAAAATGTAAATGTAAATGTTAAACAAATGGCCCATAAACCATCTTCTTCCCTCCTGAGTGATAGCCAGGTCAACGATAGAAAAAAGTCTGGTACAGCAAACATCTGCTTGGTGTATAGGGAAGGCTGTAGCGGAGATTTAGTGGGGGCTGAAAACACTTTATAGTATACCCGGCCTGCTGAAGTTTAATGTAGAGATAAACAGCTCACTTTTACGTCATCTGCATCCACATTACAGGCTCATTAAGAGGAATGGGACTCAATAAAAGCAATCGGGCTGTGGGATAACGTACAATTAAACAACCATCATTTTCCCATTAGGAGAGGGAGAAACCACCGTGGGTCCAGGATGGAGGAACTAGGGTTCAATCTTG